TAGTAGACTTGTGCAACATCCTCCCCTCGGACAGAAATGTACAGCATTGGAGCACATCACAAACTTTCAGGTACCACTGCACGGAAATATATTGCCTCTATAAACAATACAAAACTGCATCCTTCGGATAGTCACAGAAGCCAAATGCAACAAAAACCCTCGAAGCCAACCATACAGAGATGGAACACACAAATGGAGGACCAGCATCATCTACAGTACACAACCTCCCTACTTTTAACTGAATGGATGTTGTTAATTTATTTATTAGTGTTAGATCACATTCAGGAATAAACCTCCATGGTTTACCACCCCAGCAACTTGGAACTGGAAAGTGGCAAGGACTCCCATACTCCATAAGAAGAAAAAGGAGGGATAAAATGTGGTGGAATGCCAACACTGGAGACAGTGCAACAGGTGATCATGAAAACACTATTTTGAAAAGCGGACTGCCATGAAGTTAAAAGCACCCGAAACATAACACACCAGGAGAATTATCCCAAGTGTGTGGGACTCCTGGTTGGTTGATATAAGTTACCACTGTATAATTATCAGAATGGATCATGACAATCGATTCCTGACTATAGGAAGAAAGTGATCCAGAGCTCATCCTACCACCAGAAGCTCCAAGGTGTTGATATGGTAAAATCGCTCGGTTGTAGACCATTGTCCGGAAGCCTCCTGCTAATCGACCCATGCCCCTAATCCTATAGGGAAACAAATATGGGAGAGGAGGAGGAGTAATGGGAGAATCCAAGGGATCCTGAGCAAGATTCCATTAGTCGTGCAGAGTTCACTGAAGAGACTGCATATGTGCCTGACCCAAGGGAATAAGTGCTTCCACAGAAGCCCACTTATCCCCATAAGTGATAGCATCTCATGAGCAGTGAGAGATGGAGCAGTAAGGGTGTGGAGAACTGAAAGCTCCATTGAATGGAGTCGAAGAGGAGAAGGTTGAGCCTGACTGAGGTGGGAATTGAAAAAGACCCCCAAGTGGGCAAGATATTGGATAGGGGGACAGGAAAGACTTCTCCAGCTTGATAATCTAACCCACTTGAGCAGCTTCAAACAGAAGGAGACAATGTGACATGAAGACTCCATTTCTGAATGAGCTAACAGAAGCCAGTTGCATATGTAGTGGTGTAAGCAGAACTCCTGAGCATGCATAAGTCATGGAAACGTTTTGAAAACTGGATAAAAGACATACAGAGCCAAAGCAAGCCCAAAGGACAAGGTGTGAAGCTGGTACACAACCCTGTGATGGACAAACTGAAGATAGCATCTGCACCAAGGAGAAATAGGAGTGTGTAGATAGGCATTTGGGACGTCTACAATCTCGGAGAGAAAGCCCACTTTAGTTGGAGAAGGGACTCCACTGTAAAACAGGGAAGATCCAGAAATTGAATGAGGCAAGATAGATTAATCACAAAATGCCAGTTCCCAGTTTTCTTGGGTACCACAAACAGCCTGGAATAAAAGCCTGGGGAAGGATGGCCGACAGATAAGTCTGTACTGATTCTGATAGGCACTGACTGGTTGGAGGATCCCAAGGTAACAGAAAGCAAATGGGTACAGGAGAGACCTGAATAACCTAAGATTGGTAGCAAATTACAGCCAGAGGGGAACAAAATTAATCAAACAAGCCTCAAAGGGACCAGAACCCACAATAAAGTCATTGGCACTACTGAAAACAATGAGTCTGCATCGATAAACATGATGAGCCATGGAATCCACAGTGAGAGGAACAGTTAAAGGATGAGAGGGTGTTGGACATGGAACAGGGGATTACAAGCATCCAGGGTGAGACAAACGAGCAACCAAAGATGAAAGGGTTGAATGTTTCCTTTCAGATGATTCGATATGTGGTTCCAATATTTCAGGAATATTCCCAAAACGGACAATTGGAGAAAACAAGCCATCCACAAGTCCCAAAGGTAAGTGGACGGTAAATAAACCTGGGACAAGACAGCATCCCTTCCCAGAAAATCCCCAACAACAAAGAAATATCGTGTGAAGAGATAGATCTGAGGAGGACAATCTCGCTAACATAGAGGTAAGGAGGGAGAAGGTACACCCCAAAAATCCCTAAGGAAATCAGTGTAGTGCCTCAGAAAGAAACTTCATGGTAGACAAATACTACAGGAGAGTCATAAGGGTAAGACAATGGCAGGAAAACTGGATCTGGGATAAACAGACAGGACTATCAGGATCAGCCATCCCGTACTGGCAGTACTGATTCCAACTGCTGAGAATTAAGAAGGGGGTAATCTGCCTGATGGTAAGCCAAGGCATGCTAGCACCAGCTTGCAACTGAGAAGCAAATACTCAGCATGAACCCTGACATCAGGAGAAGGAGGGAAAATAAAATACTAAGAGGAAGGGTGTCATGTAATAAGGAAGGAACTTGATTATAAGAAATGAAGAATATGGATAAAATGAAACAAACATGAGAAATCCTGTCTAAAAAGGTTGAATTAGGCCTAGCAGATTCTG